AAAAAAAAAAAAAAAAGTAAAATTTAACCTCTAATCAGAAGTTAAATTACAAATTTTTAGTTGAATTCAGCTAAAAAATTTGACTTATAATTAATTTATAATTGATCTAAAAACTATTAATCAGCTTAAAATTAGTATCTGATTTTAGGTTAAATAGTTAATTTTAAAATTCAATCTAATATCAGACTCTAAATTTAGATTTTTTTTTTTTTTTTTTTTTTGCAATTATGCTAATACTTTATTTAATCAAATTTTTATCTATAACTAAAAACTCTATCTAGTATATTCTACTATCTAATGATTAATTCTAAGTATTAACTTACTTAGTTACTACTTTAGTATCTAAGTACGATCTGCTATAGTGACCTTTAACCTCTGTACCTTTGGTCTCATTTTACAAATATCTAAAAGTATTTTAAAAGAAGGATGCTACAGCCCATTATATTTGCATCTTATATCTGTACATTTTTAAACTCTTCTAAAATTTTCTTTAATATACTGTTCTTCGCTAATTTAAACTCTAAACTAATTTTTCTCATATTCTTATTTGTTCTTTCTACACTACATGAGTTTGCAGCTGCATTGTCTACTTCACACATCTTAATTTGTTTTCCTTTTGTTTTCCTTTTTATCACACTTGTCTTTTTCAAGCCTTTTTTTCTTTTTGATGAGAAAGTTTAATATGTGGATAATGTCCTAGTTGTTTTATGATATTCTTTCTCGATTCTCCCAAATGTTCATCTCATTATATCGTATAGACCAGACTTCTTTATAAATCTGCTTAATCTATATATTCTAAAATATGCACCAAAACCTTAATGCTGACTTTCTTGTATCTATTATCTCTTTTATTTTCAATGTATCACTTTTATTTAGGATCCTTCATAACCATTCAGCATTTTGTATTCACTTTTCTTCTCTAGAAATCTTTTGAATAGCTTGCTTTATTTTTCAAAGATTCTATCTTTTCTTCTTTTTTTTGTACTCTGTACCTTTTTCCAAACTTCCTCATTTATTCTTATGAGTGTTTCCTATGCTTCATCATACCAGATAATATGTTCATTTGACTCTGGTTCTTTAAAACATCTTTTGCATATATTGTCCTTATATAAATGTGGTTTTTAAATTTAGATTAAATTTTATAAATATTTGATCTAAAATTAATTTCAAAATTTAGAAATTGATTTTAGGTTAAATGTTTATAAAATTCAATCTAAATTTAGAATCTGATTTTAAATTAAATTTTAAAATTAATTATTCAATCTAAAATCAGATGCAAATTTTAAACTGATTAGTAGTTTTTAAATCAATTATAGATTGATTATAAGTTAAATTTTTTAGCTGATTTGATTTGAATTTAACTAAAAATTTGAAATTCAACTTCTGATTAGAGATCAAATTTTACTTTTTTAACTAGTACTTATTTTAAAGCTAAAATTTTTTTTTTAGATTTGAAAATATAAAAATTTTAAAAATTTTAAAAAAATTAATTATAAAAAATTTTTTAAAAATATTACTAACTTATTTCTGTAGTGAATTAACTATCTTATATAATTCACCAATTATATCACAAGATCTTATATAACAAAAAACATATAAAATTTAAGAAAAATATTAAAAATCATAAATATCTCAAAATTTTATTATAAAAACTAACTTTAGACTTTTAAATAAAAGTTTTTAGTATCTAATTTTATATATAAATATATACTTTAATTCTAATATAAACCTTACTCTAATTCTAATTTCAAAAAATAGTTTACTTATATAAAAAAACTTAGAATAGTTAATTAACCAGTAGTTAAAATTAGTTATATTTATTTTTTAATTTAAACTTTAAAAATTTATTATTCAAAAGCTATTTAATAAAAATAAAAAAATTCTTTAAAGTTTATAGAATATATTTTTAATAATATATTTTATATATAATATAAACTCTATATTATTAATATTTTATTAAATTATTTAAAAAATAGTATTAACTCTAATTTTCTAGGCAAATTTTTTAGTAAACTTCTAATCTTTCAGAATAAACAATGTTTAGCAGATTTTTGATTTATTCTTAACAGAATCTGTTACAATTTTTAATATTTTTAATTATTTTTACTTGGTATTTCTTAAGAATATTTTTTTGATATGCGATTTAAATTAAAATTTTAATTGTTATCTAAACCACCATTAGAACCGAAAATCAAGAAAAATAACTTTAAGACTATTACAGTGTTAAAGAAGTTTACTTAAAAAATCTTTTGCTAATCAACTGAGTTGTTACATGTATGACATAAATAAAATTAATCAAAGCTATATATTTTCTTTCGACGCATTCCGATCAATTACTTCAATTAAAGGACCTTTTGCATTTTTAAAAGAATCATTTGTAATAACTCCAAAAAAGTTGTTATCAACTATATATCTAAGACATTGCAAAATTGCGTTCTTTTCCTGTACTTTTTCTTTGTATAACAACTAAAAAGTAAAAAACGCGAGTAATGTGTTAAAAGCCATAGATAAGAACTGTATATAAAAGGCATGATTTCCACTTACCATTTCACGAAGATTCCTTTGACGAATCCTTTGATGATCCGGTGGACGTTGAAGTGGCGGGCAAATCTTTAAATAAAAAATAATTAAAATTTGTATAAAAAAACCGAATAAAAAGTTGTCATAAATAAATACCATTATGCCCTTATGTAGATTTCCACATTGTTTCCCTCTGGGGCAGTGACCAGGTCGATACTTTATACAGACATTGCTATAAAACCTTTCAATAACCCTTGTAAAT